TACTCAATATCAGAACAAAAATAACATGAGAGGAAAATTTTTTATGATGTAATGAAAAATTACTCCCTTTGCCTGGAAAATGATCAATTCTGCTCGGCAAGTGTAGGCAGAAAGACTGTCAGCTACCAATATTTTCTTTTAATAAAGGTTAAATAAGGAATCAGACAAAATGTTGAAATTCCTTTATGCTGTGACAAATGAGAGTTGTATTTGGCAAGAGATGTTTAGATGTTGTCTACTTTAAACTACAGTAATACTTAATGAGCTATGCTTTTAAGTTGAAATATACATATGTTGTTTATTTGCAGTGGTTATTGTTTTTTAACCAGTTAAGTTTTAAACTTGACCAGAAAAAGAAAAAGAATAAAGAACTGTTAAATTATAAAATACAATAAAATAAAAGTCTGCTCCATTAGAAGAGATAAACTAAATGGAAGAAACTATTTCAGCAATGATGATGTGGTAGTAAAATTCACAGGGGACAAAATGAATAAAGGAAGGCAGAGCTGAACTAATCTGGAACATTTCACTGAGTTCATAAATAAAAGGAGGAAGAAATTATAATTACCAGTAGAAGTGTAGATTTACAACCTATGACAAAATGTCACCAAATAATAATCTACATTTCAACTATTTGTTTCTCAATAGAGAAAACTTTACACTTCTAAATTAAAATTTACTCTTAGAAAAATACCTGCATAGATTACAGAATCATGCTACTGAAAATCCTAATTGTCTCCACCAATTAAAATAAGGATCTTGAAAGTATATACTGTCATTTATACTGTAGGTTATCCATAAAGTTAGCTGTTCTTTGAGATTTTCCTCATAATGAAAAATGTCATGCTATTTGTTCACAGCAAATAGTCACATATTTTGATTTGTTAACTTGTTTTAGAAAACTGTATATACAAACAGTGATATCTTTTACCCACACTCACAAAAAGAAAGCAAGAATGGGTAGTTCAAAAAGACAGAATATTATTCTGTAATCTGAAGTGGAAATTTTCTTTTTCTAAACCTTCTTCTTGATACTTATCTTTTTTAGACTTCACAAAATATGTTCTCAAATTTGCTCTCGAACTTTCAGTAGATGATCGTGTCGTTGGGTGCTCTTGCTTCTGAAAAAATTGGTCTAAAAACACATGTTCATGCACTCTTAATTTAAATTCTCTTATTGTTGGTATTCAGAAGCATTAAAAAACTGAAGTTAGATGAATGAGAGTCTTTCATATAGATGCTGAGTTTCAATAGCTCATTTGGTAGAAAAATGATACAGCTGATTATAAATTACCCTTGTGATCATTATACTGAAAGATTTGAAAAATAGAAATCTGAGTTCATGAGCCACAAACAAAATGCATATCAATCTTTGGATAGAAAGATAGTTGAAAACAGTGTTAAATGCCAATTTGATTTACAATTACTTATGTAGTTTCTCTTTTCTGGGAAATAAAAGCTCTAATTGTACTTCAGTATCAGAAAGCAATGGCTACATATTTTAGTTATCTCAGATTTTAATTTTTTTTAGGTTTGGTTTGAGGTTCTTTGGTTCAGTTTTACTATGATACCATAGAATATAACTGAATGGGCATTTTCAATCATTTTTATTGTTATTGACTTAATGAATAACATATTCTGTGATTTATTTCCCTATTCTTACACTAGTTTGATAACAAATTTTGACAACCTAAATTTTGTTTTACTACAACTCTTTACAACATTATTCATCAGTTAAAATTTCAGTTATAAAGTATGTAATAGGATGAGTTAGATTAAATGCAGCTATAACATGACATGTGACACATGTAATCTTTCTGACTTTCATAGGTGTAATTCTCTAATAAATCATTCATTCACAACAGCCAAAGGACATCAACACAAAACTGTTTGTATATTTTACCTAGTTGTGCAGTGAAGCAGAGCAGTGTACATTTCCAAATACTGTCTGTACTAGAGCAGTGATTACTTCTCCATGCTAGTTTTCAATTTTATGTAGAACTTGCACTTAAAAAGTTTTTTCACTGTAATGCTTTGAAAAGATTTTCAATAAGCTTAGACCATATAATTTTCAAGGTGTTTTGTATATGGTCAAGGATCATTGATTCCAATTCCTTCTTCTTGCAATACTACTTAAAACTAAACCATTTGACTAAGATCATCGTACAGATTCTCATTGAACTCTGACAGGTTTTATGCTGTGATCACTTCCCTGGGAATCCTGTTCCAGTGACTGACCACCCTCTTAGTCAAGAACTTTTCCTTAATGTCCAGTCTGAACTTCCCCCAGCAGAACTTCATCCAATTTCTTTGTATCCTATTGCTGGTCACCAGAAAGAGATGTGCATCTCCCCATACGATGTCCTCCTTAAGCAATTTGAAGACGGTGATGAGGTTGCCCTTCATCATCCTTCTCTTCTCTAAGGCAAACAAACCAAGTGACCTCAGTTGCTCTTCCTAAGTCTTGTCCTTGAGACCTGTCACCCTCTTGGTCACCCTCTTCTGGTCACACTCTAACAGTTCCTCTTATATTGAGGTACCCATAACCGCACACGGTACTTGAGGCAGGGCCACCCCAGTGCAGTGTAGAGAACAATTACCTCCCTTGATTGGCTGGTGATGCTATGATGGTGCTATGATGCACCATAGGACAAGGCTGGTTCTTTTGGCTGCCAGGGGACACTGTTGACTCACAATCAACTTTCTGTTGACCAGAAACTCCAAATCTCTTTCCATGGGACTGTTCTTCCCCGTCTCATCCCCCAATTTGTGTGTATAACCACTATACGCTGGTCGCTGCCCAGCTCTTCAGTACCTCCAGACCTCCCTGTAAGGTTTCTCTATCAAAAAAGACTCCCACAGCTCCTTCCAATTCACTATTACCAGCAAATTTACTTAGTGTACATTCATTCCTACATCCAGATAATTTATAAAAACATTAAAGACACTGGCTTTAAAATTGTGCCCTGGAGAAACCCACTGGTGACTGGATGGTAGCCTGATGTAACCCCATTTACTATAACTTTTGGAGCCTCACCCATCTGCCAGTTTTTCACCCAATACCTCCCTAGTTGTAGACTTGTACTGAAATATCTAGCCTCAGAAGAGGATATTGAGTATCCAGATATCCAATTTCAGCTCTTTTGAAAATGAAGTAGCTTTGAATTTGATAGCATAAAGAAGCTATTAAAAATGTGACAAAAGAAAAACAATATCTTGCATTTTCAGTTTAAATACTTAGTTTATCTCATTTATTACCGGGATTTGTTATGAAAAACTTAGATGGTTAACTCTACTCCCATGATATTGGAAACTGAAGTCCTATACAGTGAGAATGACAAAAGTTACTGTTTATTTTCACTACTCACCTCACTTAATGCTATGTGTCAACAACAAGGTAACTTCAGGAGTTTCACTCTGGGAATCCCACTTGTAGTTCTTTATAGAGTCTCAAGTGTTATCTTTGGGAATAAAAGCATGGGAAACGAACAGTCAGTCCTTAGATAAGCTTGCTTTTAAAACAAAAAACGTAACTGGATTGAAACGTAACGTAACGTAATTGAAATATAGGAAAACATAATAACAATAATATAAATAATATCAATCATAATAGGAATGAAAAGAAGAGAGAAAGAGAAGAATAAAACCCAAACAAAACAAGCGATGCATAATACAATTGTTCAGCACCCACGGATGGATGTCCAGTCTGTCCCTGAGCAGCAATTTATGGATCCCAACCAAATCCCATCAGCTTATATACTGAGTATGACATTGTATGGTATGGAATATCCCTTTTGCCAGTTCAGGTCAGCTGTCCTGACCACACTTCCTCATGGCTTCTTGTGTATCTCCTCACTGGCAGAGCATGGGAAACTGAAAATTCCTTGACTTAGGGTAAGCACTACTTAACCATAACTAAAACAACAGTGTGTTATCAACTTTATTTCCGTACTAAATCCAAAACACAACACTTCACCAGCTTCTGACAAGAGAATTCATACTATCCCAGCCACAACCAGGTCACTGGGAATGAAAACAAGGAAATCTGACTCTTCTCTGCAGTGGCCAGTGACAGGGGACTCAAATTGAAACACATGAAAATCCATCTGAATACAAAAATACACTCTCTTACTGTGATTGTGGTCAGACCCTGGAACAGGACACCCAGAGAATTTACAATTTCCTGTCCTGGGAAATACTCAGTACTCAGCTGGACAAGGTCCTGGGCAACCTGCTCTAGCTGATCATGCCTGACTAATTGGGGAGGCAGGAGGGGGAAGAAGGGGTGTATGGGCAAGATTATCTGCAGAAGTGCTTTCCAGTCTCAACCAACCTGTGACACTGTGAAGCAGGGGCTTAAGCATAGTCATAGCATGTCTTCCAACTGTTGTCCCCATCACAGAGCACATTTTTTGCATTAAAGAATACTCAGAGGATTACCCTGGTGCTAGAATCTGTAAGTGTGACAGCTATGTTGTCAAATGGTGGGCAGGAAAACAAAAATATAATGCTTGTCCAGAGACTGACCTTGCAGAAAAATAGCAAATGCAATTTTTCAAAATTTACTTTGCAGCCAGTAATAGAACTGGATCAGCAGGAAAACAGAGGAATCCTGTCTTGTTACTGTGTGACAGACAAAATTCCCTTTTCCCTTGCTCTTGCAGCCTTTCATTCCGTCTGCTGAGCCAGTCTGACCAGCTTTTTCAGGTTTAGTTGTTGTTCTTTTTCAATTTCTATTAACTTCCCCTGTTATTTAGTACCTACCTGTCTTCTGTAAATGCAATTTTATCACAATGATTACGTCTTCCTTTCCTAAATTCTTTTTGTGCTCTTTTTGTTTTTTAAATCTCCTAAATTATTTTGTTAACCATGCAGTATTTCAACCTTTCTATGTTGCTATGCCTTCTATTATATACTGCTGTTACCAGCTAGGATGCAGTGTAAGTCACCTACAGTCTTCGCTGACAGGTACTACACAGATGAGAGTTTCTGCAACACAGACAATGAGAAAAGAAGGAAACCTCCACTCTTTACAAAATCTTTTGATGCCGGGGGGAGGAATTAAAAAGAAACCCAACTGTCTTCCTGCAGTCTCTTGTGAATTACTTTGGAGCTGACCTGAATGACGAATAAGTGACTATCAGTACTGTGTGACTTTAACTTCAGACAACTGACAGAAGGTATGACAAAAAACCTTTTTTTTTCCTTTTTATTGCTTATTTTACTTTGCTTATGCTTAGTTTTTATATCATCTATCCCATTGCTTCACCTTCTTACAATACAAGATACCTTATATTTATGCAGCCCTGACTTAAATTTCTTTAACAAAACCTGTTTGTGATTTCAGAACTGCTTGTATGATCTCAATTTTACTTATATTTTCTTGAAGTTTCTATCATCTGTTAGTGATAAGTCAGTAATAGTGTTACTTCTTGAAGATAAATTTTCTGAAGAGATATTTTGATGAATGCTGTGTGAGCAAAACAAAAACATAAACAAAATTTGTCCATGAAAGTTCTAAAAATTGGGTTTGCTCAGTTTGTAGATCATGATTTGGTGCATTATTATGGAATAGATCTCTTTGATGAGATCTATAAATAGAGTCATTTATATTAATAAAAATAAAATTTACTTGAATGTTGAATACAGTAAGTTTCAGGCTTTATGGGTTTTTTTTCAGGCAAAAGACATATCAAGACGTCGAAGAATTTTTGCATAAAGTAGTAATCAACATTTCTATTATAAAGATAAGATCTAAATGGTTCAGAATCTAAAATAATTTCTCCTTAAAATTATCAGTTTTATTTCAAACTTTCTTGAGTAAATCAAGCATTGGAATTTAGTATATAAACCTGGCTAGGTTTGTTGGTTTTTTTTTCCTAACTATGAAATATTGAATATTTGTACCAAAACTTGCCATAAAGGAACCTCAGTAAAACAAATAACACTTACCATCTTGTTTATTTGTTTACCTTTTGACATTGTTAAAAGGAAGGAATTAGGAATGGAAGGAATGACAAATCATTTTCATCCAATAAAGTATTAATATAAACTTTTTGCATTCCCACAGACTATTTTGCTGGTCATCAATCCATAGGAATATCTTAGGTAAAGTGGATTATTTTTGAAAAATTCTTAAAGTATTTTTGAAAATTTCTCAAAATATTTTTGAGGGTAGGAATCAGCTGAGCTTCTAAGTCTATGGAACTTTTGTAAATTACAATATTTGTTCATAAGATTAAGAAACACTATCATAGTCTAATTTCAGGGTCCACATCATTTCAATCTGTGGCCCCAGCTAGGCAAGAGGAAAGTCTGTTGAACTCAATACTGCATTTTCCACCTGTTTGCTTTTGTTGGGTCTGGGGTTTTTTTGTGTTCTTTCAACTTACCTATATGTACAGTAAATCTCCATGCTTTGCAATTTCTGTAAAGGTTAATTGTCACTCAAAAGATTGTTTAGGAATGCTATTTATGGTATTAATCCAGTTATCTTTTTTGAAAATATTTTTATGTAAACATTAGGACGCCTTGTAAGGTGTTCTAATTCAGAACTCTATGTTGTAAACTGAAATGAAATTACAGGCAAAATCTGTTTCAAGTTAGGTGGAAAATTTGTTCGAATAAAGATCAGTCGTCCCTAGAGGAGATATTTTTTTCCCTCCTGTGAGATCTATATATTAGCAGAGTTGGTGTCAAACATTTTCCTCTCTTTGTTTTAATGTGCTCTTTCCCTCTTGTCATGAATGATTTGCTTGCACATTTTTTTTAATATTTGACACAAGTACATATATAAGATTCACTCACCACAGAATGAGTAAAAATTTCTCCAATAATATCCATTCTGTCCCCTTGAGGTCCTTCTATTCAAATGACCATAGTTGTTTGTGTTTTTTTTTAAAGTAAGTGAATCTTTTGTGATGTTGTGAAAAGAAGTTTTATTTACTATAGCTTTTTCTGAAGACATACTAATTGAGTCATTCCTTCTGAAATCAGAAATGTTGTAGAAAGAATTAAATGGTCATAACAGCCACTGAGAAAACCAATTTAAAATAAGCCCAGAGTATTTCAGAGGAAACACTACATTAGAGAAAACTAATGAAACCCTAAATTCCTCATGAGGAAAGTGGAATTCTGTATATTTATGAGACAATCACTGCTCAAATTCTATGGTTTTGAATAGTTTTAATGAAATTTCATTGGTTATATTAACATTTAAAAAAAACTCAAAAATTCTCAACTCTTTTTTGTGCTTTTATTTGTAGATATTAATGCAATTAAAATAGAGTTTATTTCATCACCCTGATTGTCTGGTCACCCAAAGAAACAAATAACAGAACCTTGGGAATATGTAGTACAATAGGATGAAAAGAATTGACCGCTGGCAGTGATTAGAAGGACCATGGATTTTTTATGCTGACACAGAAGTAGTGTGTGATTCTGAGTTCAGAGTCTGCCTGTCAGGAACAGCATTCATTTTTCTGTCCTCTGAAGAAAATTCTGAAGGCTGCAGATCACAGGTAACTGCATAAAAGGAAAGAGTATGGATTTTTTGAAACACATGTAAAGACAACATAGTCTTACCAAGAGTCAAATCTGTGGAGTATAGGATGAATGATTTGTAATCAATAAACTATAGTTTTGCTCTATTTTTAACACTTAGAAATAACTTATCTATTTTGATAAGATATTGAAAGCATGTATTATATTAAGTCTATTACTATGACATTCATACCTTAATTTTCTTTAACAATCAAGATATCAGAAGAGAGGAGATACTTATGCAGTATAATTTTTAAGGGAATTCTGGCAACTTCTGAAGTAGCTCTTTGAATTTCTGAACCAAATCCCCAGGAAAGAAATGCCGATTACTTAACTTGTTCTCTACTTCTATACGATAAAAGTTTAAATATATTTTCATTTTCCTACTCTTCTAGTTTTAGAGCAATGACATCTATGACACTGTTTTTTCATGTGGTTTTCTGTGGCATCGTTCAGCTATGCCAAAGTAGTTTGACTTTGGACTTCAGATAAAACAGCTTTAGTTCTCCAGGTTATGCCTAAATTTAGCACAGAAATAAATTTTCACAAAACCAAAGTAGTACCAAATTCCAGAGCAAATTATGTCTGAATAGCTTGTATTTAATCCTCGGTTTAGTTCCTTCTTTCACTACCTTTTTCCACTGTCTCACTCTCCAGCAACTTTTATTAATTAGGGAACTGTGGACAACTGACATTTAAATGTCAGATACAAACAGCAGAGATTCTTCCTGGACCACACACAGTCTTTTATAGTGGTATTTTCTAGTGTAGACTGGTAAAAACCTATCACATCATGGTCATCTTGAACATTTTCTTCACCACTCACCTATTCTTAAATTGTGTTCCTGTTATTGAAGCAAATATTTTTTCAGTTGACTTCAGTGAGCACCTTGTCTGCATAGGAAAACAGGCTATAAAGCTTTGCCACCTTCTTTATTTCTGACCCATAAAATTAACCATTTTCATACCCTGCCTCAGACTTCTCAGATTTCAATACTGCTTTATGGAAACTTTATTATTAATCATTCCTGTAGACAAGTTATCTTTTCTACTCCATAATACATTTCCAAATATCACCTGAGATCATGTGCATTTGTCTCTAAGCGGTTACAGGCAAGAAATACAGTGTCAAAATCTTTCTGAGAGACTCAGTATTTCTATTTGTTTTCTATATCTGCATTCAATTTTTTGCTCCTTCAAGTGCAAACAAGTTTCAAGAGTGTGTGCAAAAGCCAACATCAGCAATCAAGATTTAAATCTGAAAAATATTTTTACTCATTGCTATTTTTTTCTGAAAATAAGTTGTTTTGTTTTGTGTTTTGGCTTCTGTTTTCAAAATTTCTGAAATAAGGAAAAAAGAAAGAGACCAACAACGAATAGAATTAAGTATTCTTAAAAAAAACCCAAAACAATCAACCCCCTCCCACCCCATTAGATCTTTTGAATAAATTCCACACAGTCTTTATTGTTATGAGTTAAAATTCAATGTCAAGTTTCCTGAAGCAGTCACAGGGTGAATTTACTAGATTGTGCTAATTGTATCACATTAGGCATACTGTTATTGCTATTAATAAGTGTGTCAGCAATTCCTCTTGGCAGGTTGCACCCAAGGCAAAGAAATGTCAGTGGAAGCTAAAAGAGATAAAGAAGAGAAAATGTTTTTTCATTAGAAAATCACTGAAACATTCTGCATCTCTTAGCAGCAGAATGAAGCAACTGTGAGGCAATTCTGAGAATGTGTATATTGTGAATATACTGTGGAATTTTAATGTATACATAGTATCATTAAAACATCCTAAATAATAGCAACAGCAACAAAAATAATTATAATAATAATTTGAAGCTTGAGGCTAGTTCATTACAAAATTTCAGGTTCATAACACTTGTAATATACTCTTTGTAGGTCCAAAAGGGTAGGAAAAAGTACTTAAGAGAGAGTAATAAAAAAAAAATCATAAAAGAAATAAAACTTTAAGAGTGGGATTAAATCTTAGATTCAGATGCATAAATTTAGGTGTCAACAATCTCTAAACTCGTCTTGCAGCAGGTGAAGATACAGAAGCAGATTCAGTTAACCAAATGGAGATGCCTCCTGCCACCCCATAACAATTTACAACATTTGCATGGGACTGTAAGCTAATATACTGGGCTTCAGAGAGATCTTCAATCTTCTGGACTGACAGTTGGATTCCAGGTAAGATACCACAGGACATTACAAATATTATGAAAGGACTGAATTTGAGCAACGTAATCATAACTTTAAATAAATGAGTTAGAGCAAATCACAGAACAACAAAATGGGTCAGGTTAGAAGGGACCATAGAGGATCATCTGGTCCGACTTCTGTGCTCAAGCAATGCTATCCTAGAGCACATTGCACAGGATTATGTCCAGATGGGTCTTGAATATCTCCAAGCAGGGAGACTCCACAACTTCTCCTGACAGTCTGTTCCAGTGCATGGTCACATGCACAGTAAAGTTCTTCCCCATACTGAGACAGAACTTCCTGTGCATCAATTTCTGCCCATTGCCTTGTGTCCTATTGCTTGGCACCTCTGAGAATAGCCTGACTCCATTCTCTTGACACCTTCCCTTCAGATACTTGTATGCACTGGTGAGGTCCCCTCTCAGTCATCTCTTCTCAAGGCTGAACAGGCTCAGCTCCCTCAGCCTTTCCTCATAGAAGAGATGTTCCAGTCCCTTAATCACCTTCATAGGTCTTCACTGGACCCACTCCAGGAGCTCCATGTCTCTCTTGCACTGAAGAACCCAGAACTGGACACAGCACTCCAGATGAGACCTTACTAGGGCTGAGTAGAGGGGCAGGATCACCTCCTTTGACCTACTGGCAATGGTTTTCTTAATGCACTCCAGGATACCATCGGCCTTCTAGACCAAAAGGGCACACTAATGGCTCATGGAGAGCTTATTGTCCACCAGGACCCCTAGGTCCTTCTCCTCAGAGCTGCTTTCCAGCAGTTCGGCCCCTAATCTGTACTGCTGCATGGAGTTATTCTTTCCTGGGTGCAGGACTCTGCATTTGCCTTTGTGAAATTTCAGATGGCTCTTCTCTGCCCATCTCTCCAACCTGTTGAGGTCTTTCTGAAGGGCTGCACAGTCCTCTGGCATATCAACCACTCCTCCCAGCTTTATGTCATCAGTGAACTTGCTGAGGAGGCATCTATCCTTTCATCCAAGTAATTGATGGATAAGTTAAACAATACTGGACACCACTAGTGACAAGCCTGCCTGTGCCATTGATTACAACCTCCTGGGACCTGCTATTCAGTCAGTTCTCAATCCACTTCACTGTCCACTCATTTAGTCCACAGACATACAGGATGCCTATGCTTTTGTAGAGTGGACATGGGATGTCAGATGGGTCATTTAAAATGGTGTCTGTAGTGTATCACACTCAAAGGCATCAAAGTTACTATTTTGACTTTTAACATTCTAGGACAACTCTGTTCTGTAAGTATAAGAGTACAGTTTCATTTGAGTTACTATACCTACTCGTGTGTCCTTCAGCTGCTGATCCAGAAGGGCATGAGTCTCTGTAAATGCTTTCAATACTGAAAGCCTCATGCAGATTTCTCAGATAACTTAGACAGTTTCAAATTACACTACAAACCTATGTTTGACAAGTGAATTGATCTCATAGTAAAGTCAATGGAGAGATACACATTTGTTTTAAAAAAGCTGTTTATTTTAGGGTGAAGTGAGTCAATTGAATATATTGATTAGCTCACCTCAGTGGGAGTTTACAAGTTTACACAGCTAACTCACTTGTAGTCTCTTACACTGTATACCAGGAGTCTATACAGTTGTCTATAGATAAGTTCTTGATGTGCTCTAGGATATACTTTTTATGTTCAGCTGTTGCTTCAGGAGGGTAGGAGTCCATCAGAGATCCTGTGTCATATATTTCTTACCTACACCAGTGCTGTAGACGTCTCTAGCACTTTGGCTTCAAAGCAAAAGTTGTTTTCAGGTGAGGTTTGTCAGGGAAAATAAGGCCTATATAGGCGGACTTAAGACTCAGAAGTCCCTGACAGCAACAGTGAATAAACAAAATTTATAAATATTTAGACATTTAAAGATGAAAATTAAAAAGAACAATGTAAATGGTACAAATGATCGTTTCACATTGTTTCACGTTTAAATTTAACTTTTTTAAACAGTTTACATTTTATGGCTTGCTAGTATTTACATAGTCACCATGTCATTTGTCAACTGAATATGTAAGTTCGCCCTCTGTACTGACAGAGAGACCAGACAGAATATCCTACATCATCAAAAATGGCCTTACATGTATGTATTTAGGAAACTACCTCATTAATTGAATACATCACCATCAAGTACAATTGCATGTTAGGTAAGTTTCATGTTGACATCTATTATTTCAGACTTCTAAATTGAAAATTATCTTAATATGGAGCTAAAGTCAATCCTCAAAATCTTGTTAATCCTCACTGATAACAGTGACATTCATTTTTTAGTTCCTGTACTCTCATTGCATTTTCTATGAAGGTCTCTTCTTCTGAACTGTGCTCCATCTTCTCTTAGAAGAAACAAGATCATGGAGTGGTATAGTAACATTCTCATTCCATGAGAAACTAACTTCATTGCTAAAAAAAATATTATCTAGGGATTTAATGATCATTTTTTGTATTTTTTGGAGACAAATAGAGAGAGAAAGCATGTAAGGTGAAAGTTTATTAGTCAGTTGAACCAAAATTTATTCTCTATGGATGTAATCAAGAAGCTGAAGCGTCTGTCCAGAGATTCCTCGCAGCCTCCATCCTTTAAAGTTGTCAAGTCCCAAGTTTATAAAACTCTGAGCAACTTGATCTGATCTGCTCTGACCTAAGAACTGACTACTCCAGTGTTTTTAATGGAAGTCTATTACCTCTATAAATTTCAGGTTTGATTTTTTTTGTTGATGTTTTGTTGTTTTTTTCTTCATAAAATTATTTTTTCATAGCAATCCTTGCATATTTAATTTGTAGAAGGTTTATGTTTTCTAAATCCAATTTTCCTTTCATTCATATGTGGAAAGCAATATTAAGCCTCTATTAGGTTTATTTTTGCATTATGTAAAAATTAGAAATTATCAATTCTTCTCTCCATTTCAACTATTTTTCACATTTCATATTCAATAACAAAAGCTTTCTACAGTAATGACCTTTGGTTTACAGTCTTCCAGGTATAAAAATAAAAACATTTGAAATAATATTTAATAGGAAAAAGTGTTGGTTTCAATTCAGTTTCTTGGGAGTGGTATACACTCTATAACATATTTAAGTCAGAGTACAGAAGTGATCTTACCTGGTTGTGGTTCTGAAATATTTTTCTGGACTATTTTATCACTTCTAAGAACAAAGCAAGGGTTCTCTCAAGTTTAATTATAGAGATATGTTGTAGAATAATTTACGTAATTCAAAGGTATAAATGAATGAAGGTGTGACCATGCCTCTAAATGTTATCTAAGAAATGAAAAGTAGATTAAAAATATAGGCTGCATGCTTTTTATAAGAAAATATGATCACTAAGAAAAACCCCAGAAACTCTACTTGACAGAGATATGGAGGGGATAGGAACAAGATTACTGAAAACATAAAAACTAAATTAACACTTCAACTATAGTAACAATCTTTAGTCCATTTGTTTTTTGCTTTCAAAGAGAAGTAATTATAAGTGTACTGTATCTGGCTGGAATAGAGTTAACTTTCTTCATGGCAGCCTGTATAGTGCTTTGGTTTTGGATTTGTGTCTATAAAAGTGTTGATAAAACACTAATGTTTTGGCTATTGATGAATAGTTCTTGCTCAGTATCAAGGTTTTCTCTTTTTCTCTGAGAGAAGGCTGGGGATGGGCAAATCAGGAGGGGACAGAGCTGGGACAGCAACCTGAATTGTCCAAGGGATATTACATAACATATGATGTCATACTCAGTAACCTAAAGCAGAGAAAGAAGAAGAGGGGGGGACAGGGCAATGTCTCCCAAGGTGACCATTGCTTAGAGTCTGTCTGGACATCAATCTACTTATGTGGCTGCTGAGAAAATACCTGTGTCATTTCCTTTTTTTTTTTCTTTTTTTTTTTTTTTTTAAATTTCCTTCATCTATAAACTGTCTTTGTATCAACTCACAAGTTTTCTCATGTGTCCTGTTGGGTGGGGGATAGTGAGCAAGCAGCTATATGGGTGCTTAGCTGTTGGCTTGTGTCAGTCCACCACTATAAGGATAAAATTTAATTTGACAATCAATAATTATTAAAGGTTGTTTTAGCTATTTTCCATTCTGGAAAAAAACCCTAGCAACATGCATAAATGTTGAGATATATCTATACAGGGGGATATATATATACATATAAATATATATATATATCCATATATATTTGCTTGTCTTCCTGTTTCCTAGAAATTTTTTCCTCTTATTATTTCCCAGAAAAATCAAAAAGGAAAATGATATTTCAAATTTTGGCACAAACTGCTATTTCTTAATTGGTGAAGCCTCGCACAAAATATAGACTGATGATTTTTATCCTAAATCTGACTTTTGAGACACTGGTAATCTGTACAAAAGTCAAATGTGCATAACATATCCCCCCATAAGAGGCAAATCTGGTTGGTTAAGATGGAGTTAATGACAAGCTGTGCTGGTTTTGGCTGGGGTAGAGTTGATTTCCTTCACAGTGGCTGGTATGGGGCTGTGTCTTATATTTATGCTGAACACAGTGACGAATACAGAGATGTTTTTGTTATTGCTGAGCAGTGTTTACACAGAGGCAAGGCCTTTTCTGCTTTTCTTACTGCCATTCTGGCTAGGAAGTTGGAGGTGCTTGGGATGTTGGGAGCAGACACAGCTAGAACATATGACTCAAATTGACCAAATGGATATTCCAGACCATATGACATCATGCTCAGTGTATAAAGTGGGAGGAAGAATGAGGAAGGGGGGTATATTTGGAGTGATGGTGTTTGTCTTCCCAAGTAGCTGTTATGTGTGATGGAGGTGGCTGAATTCCTGTCAGGCCATGGAAAGCAAGGAATTAATTCCTTGTTTTGCTCTGCTTGTGTGCATGGCTCTTGCTTTCCCTATTAACTACCTTTATCTCAACCCACGGGTTTTCTACCTTTTATCCTTTCAATTCCCTCCCCAATACCACTGGTGGGGGAGTGAGTGAGTGGCT